TTATTATTCTAAGAAAAGAGAAAACACTTTGCAATAGATCCTGCTATTTGCTTGTTGCTATAAAAAGATTGGGAAGGGGAAGTGGGGAGGAATCTGTTTTAAATCCAGCTGGTACTAGCTCAGCCCTTCAGGGAAGCCCAGCGCTTAATTGCTCTCATATTTCTTTGACCCAGTTAGCATTGCACAAATGCTCCTGATCACAGGACTGTCTAATCCTCTCTTGGATCCTGTTAAATTTTATCTTGTTGACATCCTGCAGCAATTAATTCCAGGAGCTGACCCTGCACAGCAAGAAGGTCTGGTGCTTTCTCTCTGAATTGTCTACTTTTCATTTTCCATCTGTGTACCTTTGCTCAAGCAAACAGGTTTGGAGCAGGGGCAGGGCTGTGCCTGGGGAGGGGGGCTGTGCCCCAGGGGCTGGGGGTGCCTCGCACCCGGCTGCACGGGGAGGGGGGACGCTGCACCATGGCTGAGCAGCTCCAGCATCACAGTGCCTTGGCCATGCTGCATGTCACCTCGTAGCACCTTGCTGAAGTGGCACTGCAGATGTTTTGGGGTGTGCTGGGGCTGAACCAGGCCTGGGGACAGCAGCAGAGCCCCAGCTGCAGCTTCTCCAGCCCATCCTCACCTCCTCTTCCTGGGCAGGAACAGAAATTTGTTTTGCCATCGCTACCAAATCACTGCTAACTGCAGTGTCAGCTGCTCAGACATCCACCTGTCCTTAAACCGGGGTCCTGAGTAGGATGTGGATGTTTCTGGATTCAAAACTGGGCACGATCAAGCCTTTGCTTGCCCTAAAGACCAGGAATATTTTTGACTAACAGCGCTGGCTCTGCTGTGAGCAAGGACCATGCACAGGTTCCTTTGCTCTTTGTGCAAATCAACTTTAATCTGAAGCAGCCAGCTAATCTCACTAATGAGGTTTGAATGGCTCATAGGCTCAGCAAGTTGGGGACAGCCACTCTCTGTGCATTTGTGCAGCACCCAGGTGAGCAGGTGAGCAGGACCTGATGGGGCAGTTGGTGTTACTAACCCATGAAGGCCATCTGCGAGCAAACATCATAATTTTTTCTGTACAGTTCAATGCTTCTATAGCATGACCTGAGGGAGAACATGAAGAGCCGTTTGAGCAAAGTTGGTATTTCTTGTGTAATTGCTTTGGAGCCTGGACACTTGAGATGTGGCATCTCCCTTTTCTGAAGGTGAGCCACAAGCCACGTTAGCTCCACCCAATGCTCCATCGAGTGAGTTGGAAAAATATAAAAATTGCAGGTTCTGGTATAAACCAGAAGCCATTTTCTCTCCTACATACTTGTGACCAAGGGAAAAATAACAAAACCTTCAGCTAAACTCAGCTGAGTTGTAATGTCCTATTCTGCCATCAGATGCGATGTGGCAGCCTCCCTGCTGGTTAGTTCTGCTTTCACCTTGCGTGACCACCCCACGTTGCAGAACGGAGACTTGCTGATCGCAGAGGGGAAAAGCCACTGCAAGTGGTGCGAAGTGCAGGCAGCTCAAACACTGTGCTTAACACACAGTGTTTGCTAAGCTCACAGCAGGCTGATGGACTTTCAGTGAGATTAATTAAAAGCAAAGTCAAGAAGTGGCTGACAAAAGGCTAATACACACAAATAAATAAACTAATAATTTGATTTTCCTCATCATCTGCTATTAGAAATCTGTGCTTTAAATACAGCAAAAACTTACTCCCATTGCAGGCCCATTGCAAAGCACTTACAGGCCCCCTCTGATTTTAAATGGCATTTGGTCAAATATTGTGTAGCAACTAGATGGTATTCCAAAAATGTCCAGTTTTTCATCAGCTGCTCACAATAGTCCTCGGAAATGTTGCCTCCAGGAGCATTAATTCCAGGAAGGCTACAGTTGCCAGGAATGTTATATCTGTATTTACACAATGTCTATTTTGCATCAGCTCTAGCTCATGCCAGGCAACTTTAATGATACTTGAGCATCCCAGAGCACGGGAAAAGGCCACAAGCCCAAGATGTGGTGCTTCAGGTGTCATCACTGGTGTCAGCTGTGGCCCATGTAAGTGATGCAAGCCACAAACACACACATGGGCTCCGGTGAGTGAGACAGAGAGCTGTGCTTAAGTGATCTGACTCTTCAAACACAAACAGAAAAGCTTTCAGCCATCATTTCAGATCTCTCTTCTGCCCATGCTTACAGCTGCAAATGCAAACCACTTTGCCATTAATCATGCTGATGGGACATACGAGGTTTTCATTCAAAGCTAAGGGATTCCTGCTTAGTCACTAAATGCAGTTTAACTTCATTGTACACCATTTATCATTACTCTCCACTTAGGAAGGCTCAAAGTTAATTAAAATATGCTCTCAACGAGCAATTAGACACAATTGCATGCACTTCAGGGCATGGGGAAAGCCTAATGCACTATCCACAAAGCCCCTGTTTTAAGCAAAGAGACCCTGTGTTCTGCCTCAGGCTTGGGTCTGATCCCCTTGTTTAGGTCCTGTGTTTTCTCTTGGAGCTTTAAGATTGGGATTTTTTTCTTAAAACAAAAATAGCTGCTTCTATCCTAACTCCAGAGTTAGACCTTTTGAGAAACTGGTTTTGCTAACCTCAGTTCCCCACCTCCTGCAGCTACCTGTTTGCATTCAGCCCTTACATCTGCTCCAGCTTGTCTCTGGTCATGACGATCCCTCGCTGAAAGAGACCCATTTGTGACTTATCCCTGCCTGTAACCACGTTGTACTGGCTCATATTTTAGTTTCTAATCAACATCTGTCTTCCTGGCTGTCCTGTTGGCACAGAAAGGCCCCTCTGCACTGGATGAGGAGCTTCTGAGCTGCATCTGCATTGTACGGGCCTAATCATCAGAGCCCATCAGCGAGGCTCACAGAGCCATTGCTTCCTCACCTTTGGTTCGAGCTGACTGCTATCTTTGTCACTTCAAAGACAAGCATTTGAGGTAGGAGTGGGACAGTTTTGTTACTACCTCACCATCTCTGCTTTGTAAATTCTGGTTGTGATTTTCTGTGTCCAGATGTATTTACTGTTTGCAGCAGTAAAGGGCGGCATAATCATGCAAGCAAAATTGCACGTTAGCCTGTAGATTGCTTGTGAACTGGTTGCGAAGGCTGAGACTGAAAGCTGCCGGTGGGATTTGGATACCAATTCCCCATTCAAATTAATCCAAATCCCTTCGGCAGTTCCAATGATCTCAATAAATGAGATTTTGCTGCCAGTGACTTTAAATGCAGAGCCTGCCATGAGATTGGCCATGGAAGCAGCACAGCTTTTATCTCACGCCGTGACCTAAATTCCTAGATAAGGTTTTCTTTCTTGTGTGGGAGGACTTCTGAACAGGCTGTGACTTCTGCAGGTTTATCCCGACTGCTGATTCCTCTGCTGCTGTTTCGTATAGAGGAAAACACAGGGTGGAGCATTTCGCAATAGCCCCAGATGTACATCCATGGGGGCAGAATGGTCGCAGAAGTGGGGCAACAGGGAGAAAAGTGTCCTGTCACCCCCTCCACATGCATTCCACTTCTTTTCCTCTGGTAGGACTGGTGGGGGAGCACCGGGGCTGCTACAGCAACCGACACCAGCAGCAATGGGGCGAAAGGGCTGCCCCACACGCTGGCTCCTCACCGAGCCGGCCCAAAGCACATCCCTGGGAGGTAAATGATTTTGTATGGCTGCAGAGCTGCCATATCACGGGAACTGTTGCAGTATTTAATTGCCCACCGATTTCATGGGGGCCAATGTGCTTGTTTCCAACAGAGGCAATGGTGAAGGAGGTGAGGGCTGTGCTTTTCAGAACAGGATTTACCTGAACCTGAAGGGTGGCTGAAGAAACAACCCTCCCTATCTTCTGTCTCTGTCCTATGAAAACCAGGTTTCCTTTTCTCACCCCCATCACAGACTTTACTGCACAGGCAGAATCCCCTCAGCCCAGCGCCCCCAGCACCCCACTCCGGCTGGGAGCTGCCCCCCTTGCAGGCACCACCGACTCCGTGTTTCCCTCCTCTCACCCTGCTGCCTTGTCACTCCTGTGACCCTAATTTTCCCCGTGCCTCTGTTTGTCCCCATCTTTCCTGCATCCCAGCAGCTTTGGCTTCTCTCACAAAACACAGTTGCTTGAGTAGAACCTCAGTTTTCACTAATGAAAAAGAATGCTGCAGAAAAAGCCAGTTCACTCCAAAGCTTCGTTCCTCCAAGCCCTGCTGCACCTAACAGTGAACACCTAGTGCTCCACGGGCACGTCACAGCCTGCTGCTGAGCAAACCTGGAATCACTGCTGTGTTCACAAATGCCCCCCGGCACTGGGCCCAGCCCTGCCATTCACCCCAACCCCACAGACCACAGCACTGCTCCCTGTCCTGCATAAGAGGAATTGGGGGCTTTTCCTAGGGTGTCCTGAGTTGCAGCTCTAACCTGTTCCTGCACCTCTTTGCTCTGGATATTGCAATATTTGTAGAGCCAGGAGCAGCAGGAATGGCTGAGCTGTGAGCCCTGTGGCTGGGCTCTCCTCTGGACACAGCATATAGGTGCTCCAGTCCCTTGCAAGCTTTCAGTCTTTAGGGAGCTCTGCTGGAAAAGTTGATGGGTTTCAGGGTTTTAGAGTTTCGCAGGATTATGTGGGAGCTGAGAAGGAGCCACAGCATTGGGCATCTGCTGCCAGAGGGGTGAGGTGTGAAGGCCATTTTGTGCCTCTGCCACAAGAATGAGTATTTTAGCTACAGCGCTTGTCCAAGGGGGACCTGCTGATGCACAGCTTGGCTGGTTTTAAGGGAAGCAATTTCCTGGGTCCTGGGCATGGAGGGCCTGACCCTGACAAAGCAGAAAAGCTTTGCAAGACATTGACTGTATGGGGAAAGATCCTGGGAGCTGTCTCAGTTGATGACCTGGTGGGATGAGAAGGTGTTTGGGTGCAAGTCACAAACCCACGTGCTGTGGCCCAGCCCTGCCGTGAAAATAATCACCCATGGTTCTGCAGTAATGGAAACAGCAACTTGATGCAATGATTTTATTTGCTTCTTCTGACAAAAGCAGTGATACATGCAGTTGGCACAAGACTTGCTAGGCATTAATGTCATAAATATTCACATGGAGAGAAATTAAAACGTCAGCAGGGCAATGAGGACAAGCATCACTTAAATCCCAGTGTTAACCTGAGAAGGAAGGGAAAAATGTGGAGGAGGCAGAGTGGGCTAGCACCTCCCCGACTCAGCTCTCTCCATCAGCTCTAATAAATGCTGGAGCCACTTTCACTTTTGTTCTTGATGTGTGGTTAGTTCAAAAAAGAAGATGAGAAGCAATTCAGCTCCATAGTGCTAATGAGTTTCAACAGGAGAAAAAATATTTGAGGTAAGAGGTGTGAGAATGAGAAGCTCAAATATGCTCACCTTTTGATCCTCGAGTGTATTTACACTCATGTTGGTACTAAGTAGAAGTTGCCTTCTGATTTAATCTGCTCAGGGGGTGGTTTGGAAATCACTTGTGAGCATTTTTATAATTGCAGCTTTCCAATGGTATTTCCCATCTTAGCTGCTGTTGAACAAACAGCCTGGTCCCTCTGCTTTCTTCTGTGACAAAAAGATTTATTCATAGTAGTAGGAGTGATAATTAAGCTAGTATTGCTTTGCAGTTTTCTCACCTACTTCTCTTGGCTGGCTCCGGAGAGTGCTGTACCAGACACAGGTACGTGAGGTTGCTCTGACTGGAGGGGGAAGCGCCGATGAGAGACAGTTTCTCTGGATGGAGATGTCTCCACGCAGCAGCAAGGGATGACCTGGGTGCATGCTCACCACACCGTGCCAGGACCTTACAGCGGTGTGGGAATGTTTCTCTTCCTACAGACATCCCACGTAGCACTAACATCAGCTGAATTGGTTTAGATATGTTATGTGCTGGATGGTTGTACCATGCACTCAGGCTGTGTTTTTCACCAGGTGAAGCACGGTCAGGTAAGTGAGCATACAGAAGCACAGATAGGAAACCCAGAAATTATTATTTTACATTCAAGTTCTGTGACCACCAGCCCAGCATCCCCAGGGGGCCCCTCAGCCAAAGCTGCTCTTGTCGTGCCGCTGAGGCTGCAGAGCTGCGTGCGAGCTCGTGGGGCTCCTGCACCCGCACAGCGAACTGCGGGTGCCCGCGGCGTGCAGCCCGGCTGGTGCGGGTGTGACGGCAGAGACCAGCGTGATGCCTGGTGTTTCACAGCTGGCATCACAGGTTGTTACAGCTCCAGGACAGTGCAGCATGGCAATGCCCACCCAGGGCTCCTAGCTCTCCTCCTGCCAAGGGTAAATCAAGGAGTAAAGGTAACAGGGTTGTGCCAGGGTAAGCAACAGAAAAATCCCCAACCAGCAGAGATGTAAAATTCTCCATGTTGCCCTCTAGTAAATCCTTATCAAAGACTTCTTATTTTTTAAAAATATTTCTTTATGCTACTGCACTAACAGGTGACCAGTGGTATTCTGGTGTTGAGGCAGTGATCTATAATGGGTCTCCTAGCAAATGTCTATGTCAGAGAGAGCGCATTCAGTACTGTCCAAGCATCGATCAAAATGTTCCTTTCAGAATAACTGTACCCAAGTGTGAGCAACATCTGGCTGTTTGGTATTTGCTGGAAAACATCAGTAGTTTGATGTTCCCACAGGCCACTTCTTCTCCAGAACACATGGGGCTTGTACTCTCGCCAGCTTTTCTTCATGCTCAGGGCAGTTCTAGGCAATAGCTGGGGGGAGATGCTTTATGAACTGTTGCCTTTCCAAAATGAGAATTAATTGCTGTTTCCTTAGTGGATGAGACTCTGAATTGTCCCTTTGCCCACTGATGAGGGATACGATGGGTCACAAAAGTCTGCCTCACTTGCATGCACATTCAAGCCATGTTGTCTGTGTAAGGACTCCAGGGAGAGCTTCTAGAGCACAGGGTGGTTCTATCTTGTGAATAAAATGATTCTGAGCATCTACTTTTTCACACTTCAGCAATGGCTGGGAGCAAACAAGCTTTTACCTTTGCTTCTTTCCAGATGCATCTGTGCTCTGAAATCCAGTTGTGGATCATGGCTTTTTTAGGTACCTGGAAACACTTGGAGTATCTCTGCTTAGTGGAGACATCACCCATTACATTTTTGTCACAGTGAGAATTTTGTCTCCCTTCTTTTGCATCGGTGCCTGCTGTACTGAACAAATAAGTCTGCCTTCTTACAGAGCAGTGCAAGACTGGGTTTCCTACCAGCTTCCCTCTGGCTGAGGATGGTGATAGCTCTTCACTATTAATGAATGTGGGGCCGTTTCCTTTCTGACTGTGGTTACTTCCTAAAACTGTTCCCTCATCTCTTCTGAGATACTTCAGCTCTGAGCAGACTGCATCTTTCTGCACCAATCTTGGGGAGGGAAGCCTTGGAAAACTGAACACTTGTGGAAAATTGGGTTTCCCTGTGGCTTTTTCTTTCATGGTTGAGGGATGAAGTTCACTGTTTGGGGCAGAAGAGTTGCACCATGAGTAATCAGTGTTGGAGCTTTTACCATACAAAGAAGCTTTGGAGGAGCAGAGCTTTCCTGCACGGGTGTAAATCTGTGCCAGGGGGTCTTCTCTGGACCAAAAGTCAGCTTCTGTAGGAATGACTTTTCCCAGCGGCACCATATTTGAGATGAAATTGGTCAGTTTACATTTTGACATTTCCTGCTGTGTCCCACCAAGGGATGGACACCATGACATGTCTTCAGGGGTCTTCAGGGTCTTTCTGTCCTGAGCTTTATGGCTATTTTCAGGAAGGCCCGGGAAGGTGGGTCTGGCAAGATGGCAGATGGATTGAATGTAATCATCGCTGGTGTATGAGTCTGGGCTGGCTGCAGTGCTTCCAGTGCATTTCGGGTTGCTCGTTGAATCTTCCATTGCTTCCTCGTGGGTTTCGCATATGGTTGGGAGAGGCTTTGAAAGACTCAATCTTATCCGGGGTGCCATAGCTGCAAAGAACAGACCAGACATGATCAGCATGTGAAAGCCAGGTGTGGTAAAAAAATTCTGGGCCTGTTTCTGTAAAGCCTACGCTACCTGAACCACCCAATATTTTCTTGTGACAAATAGTGGTGTTTACAGAAACTGCATTTTAAAAGTTTGCTGGCAGTACTTTTATACCCATGGCTTCATAAAGAGCCCATATATAGAAAAGAAGCCAAGTGATTAAATCCAGTAGAAAATAAAAGGTTGAGTAAAGAGATCAACAACAGTGCTCCCTTCTGAAGCAATGTCAGGGTCAGGAGCTGAAGCGGTGCAGTGCGGGAGCACTGCCCGGGTTGTAGCAGCAAGGGACAAACTACACTGCTTATTGAATACTCCGCTGGTCTGTTCACTGTAACAGGGCTCTGTTGTGTCCCAACAGGCAAGAGCTGATCTCAACAGGACAGGAGCCAACCTACACCTGTGGGGAGCATCATGTAGATAAAGTGACATTGCAGCTGATCTATTCTATAAACTGTAGGTGATAATGTACAAACATGTTCATTTTTGTCTCTGCCAGTGGTTCATAAATGTAGTTATGGAGTTGTAGATCCTTCTCTGAATGCGTACGTAGAGTCAAAGGGCTTTAATTCATGTCTTTTATATTCAAATAGTTATCCTCAGCTCTTTTTAGGATGGATTTCCATCAGATTGCTCCCACTACAGTCAGGTAAAACTTTTTTACAAATATTTTGTGTTGCAGTGTTTTCTAACTGTACTGATATTTTTTTTTTTCTCAAAATACTCTCCCCTGTGCTTTGCTTATCTCCCATTCTGGTAGAAATGACCACATAGCCTAGGTCCTTTTTTTTTTTTTTTTTCCACTGTCCCCACTGCAATGGAATTTATTTGTGAATAATCTGCCAACACAATATAGCTTTGTTTTGTTGATTAAACACAAAAGTGCTTTATTAGCTATGTTAATGCCTTGCTGGAAATAAATATGGCTTTGTTGACCCTCCCTGAAAAGCTGCAGATCACATATGGAGCACAAGTGAGCAGCTCATTCCAAGCCCAGGGTAGAGCACATGGGGTATCCATCCCTCCCTGAGTTACTGCTGGCTCTTACTGGTTTTCATCTCAGGTAGTGCTGGTAAAGTCAGCCAAGCTGGGATTTGTTGATCTGAGAGGAGATGCTTGTTTTAAACCATATGGCCTTTTTGTTTCCCTTCCTTTTTTCGGTCTCTGCCATTCTTCTCACTTCTTTAGGCAGTAGGGAGGTGGCCTGCTCCTCCACCCTTCCTCCCACCGCCTACCCTAGCTCGGCAGGGTCAGGATCTGGGCCTGCTCCCACCCCGGCCTGGCGGCCGGATGCTTCAGCTAACGGGCACGGGCATGTCGTCTTAACTTACGGTAGCGCTAATCATTAACCAAGTCCTGTCAACATGCCCTTCCTCCAGAGGGAAGATAAATTACCCATTTACAGTAGAACCCTTCTGATGGGATGGATCGGTCCCAGCCCGGCGGCGATCCCCTTCGCCCCGGGCACAGCCCCGCTCCATGCCGAGGTCACCTTCCCACCCGCCCGCAGCCCCCCGAGAGCACAACCCCCCCCTGCCCTGCGGCTTCCCCTCCCGGCCACGCCGGGAGCATCACCGCTGCGGCCACCCCGGGTCCTTCCCAGTGACACCCCAGACGCAGCCCATGTCAGACCCCGGCTTTTGGGCCGCCCTCCCCTTACCTGCGCTGCTGCCTGGTGCGGAGGGACGGGCGGCTCTCAGCTCCCCAGGCTCCCACGTCGCTCCCCGGCTCTGTCCCTCCCTGTTTTCAGTGCAGAATATGTGCTGTCTAAAACTAAACCGTGCATTGGGCTCCCTGCCTCCAGTCAGCTGATTTGGCTGCCTGTTTCATTGCTGTTGCTAAATATAGCCCGCTGTCTGCCTGCCCTGCCCCAGAGCCCGCATCTGACACACGCCGCATAGCATCGGGACAGCAAAGGGGCACCAGGGAGGCAGGGCCACCCTGTCCCCAATGGGACAGTCCACGACAAATCCCCACTGCTCAACTGCATTGTCGTATTTCCCCGGGGGAAAAGAGAGCACGGCGCCGTGGTCGTGCCCCTGCTCTGAGTTGGGGGTGTGAAAAGAGGAGCCGCAGTAACATCACAGTTCATTGCAGAAAGGGGGATGTGGTGGTGGGAGGGTCTCCTTGGATTTGGGGCTGCTTTTGCTCCTTCTCTGCCTTATTTCACAAGCAAATTCGTGCCACTTTGCCAGGTTTGCCCAAGAGGGCAGCAGGGAGGGTGCTTGCAGCATCGTTATCCCTCCTGTCCTCCCTCCCTGCTCCCCGTCTCACACAGAGCTGCAGAGCCGCTGCGGAGGCACAGCAGCAGCCGGCCCCACCGTGGCACTGGCAGCCTTGTCCCCTCCCCTGGGCTCTGCTCCTCTAACCCCCACAGTGCCCCCCGCATCACCCGTTTGCATTTTGCCCTCTGAGCAGGACCACACAAGTGCCTTATGGCGAATTGCTTTTCTAGGAGGACTGGCAGCATCCAACCTTGCGGGTCTCCGGGCAGCAGGGATTTGTCTTTGTTTTCTGGTTTATTAACATGCTGCAAACTGATTGCAATCCTCATATAACTCCAGTATCCCTCTGTAGCCTCTCTTGCAGCATACGTTGGGTGGAGGGGGGAATAGTTATTTTGCAGCAGAACCTTCCTTCTGCTTTTATTTCCCGATACTGTCCTCAGAGGGAACCTCGATAGCTGTTACTCATTATCAGGGAAGAGCCATGCTGCACAGCATCTCTGTGCAACCAAGGCCAGAGAACGTGACTGCATTTCAGAACCTTGCTGCTTGCCTGTCCTGAGCTGCTGCGACGGATGGAGAGAAAAGTAGAAACCCTAGACTGAAATCACTGCTTTATAATTAATGCAAATATTCCCAGTGTTAAGGATGGAATTGGCTTTGGCTGCTGTTTTGGTCATCGTGCATCCCTTCAGGATATGGTTCAAAGCAGAGATTATTTGCTTTCTGGAGATAGCCACTCCTTAGTATTTACATATAAAGGTGTGCAAGCTTAAACTGTTTGTCTGAACTTCTGATACCAAACAGCTGAAGTTAGCTGAAATGACCCTCAACCTTCATGCATTAAATTTGCGAACAGCAATGATTGGTTGGGATCATGCTGTAGTAACAATTCAGAGCCTAGATTTCTCCTTCTTGCTTGCAGGCAACATTAATTACCAGCAAATGAAAAAAAAGAAAAAAAAAAAAAAGCACCTCAGACCCCAGCTACTCTAAGCAGCTGCAGTATAACACTTATGAAAGTCATTTCATGAGGAAAATCACTGAGCTGGAAAAAAAATTCCACATGTGCAGATGCGCATGGATACATTTGTTCTCTTTGTAAAACTCTTCAAGATCATTCCCCTCCCCTGGAAAGTTCCTCCTCCCTGCTGGAGATGTCTCCTTCCCAAAGGCTGCAGCTGAATTACGCTCAGGGTTGGGTTATCAGGTATCTAAGGGGGGTCAGGGTCTCCCCTAAAGCTTTTCCATAGCATCGTTTCTCTGCATGGTTTTGGTGGTGGGACGTGGCAGCCTGCCCTGGGAGGACGGGGTGATGGAGATCTCACACCCTGCACTGAGAAGCTGCCCAAGAGCCTCTAAAGTGATCAAGGTCCTCACAAAGTGTGATTAGGTAAGGTGTTTCTTTATGAAATTGCACTAAAAATATGGGTTTGCAATAAAAATCCCTTCTATCTACTGAAATTAGTTTCCCCTATGCATCTGGGGTTACTGTAAGAAAATCACATTTATCTGAATCACAGTTATTAGAATTACTTGGATAACCCCATTATAAATTATTTGTTCTCTATCATCTTTTTTACATCCTTGATAATAGGAAGACTGAAATATAAATTTAAATATACCAGATACAGCTTAAAAAGTAGATCATTAACCAAATATAATTTACAGTAATACTTTGTTTTTTTAGCTCACCCACAGCCAGTTGGTTTTCTCTTTCATCGAGTGGTTGCTGAAAAATATTAATTTAAAAAAAAAAAAAAAAAAAAAAATGCACCTTTGAACACTTGTTTGTCTCTCTGCAAAACTGCTGTAGGCTTCTTCCAAACACTTCTGAGGATGTCTCTGGGTAAACCATCCTGGTCTCTTGTTCTTATACTCCTCTGAGAGACCGTGGCGGATCAGCATTCCTGAGTTCATGAAAACCGTAACCAAATGGGATTAATAGTGAAAGAAAACAGCAATAGTAGCAGTGCCCAAGCTGCTGAGGAAAACATGAGTTATTACTTCTGCAAGACTTGCTTGAGTGTCTGAGATCTAAATGTTAGAGAGTTACTTTTTGTTTGTTTTTCTGTTTGTTAGTGGGTTTTTTGGAATGCTTCCAGTTTTGGGGAAGGCCTTGTATTCAAATAATTTAGTAATTGCACAAGTGTAACTGGCAGCTCTCCTCTGGGCATTTTTGAAGCTTGTTGATGTTCAGATAAACAAACCAATTAATCTTTGGGAGCTCAACTGGATATCAAAGTCAATTCCCATTCTGGGTATTCTCAGAAAAATAGAATCTTCGTGCCAAATAGGGGCTCTGGAATGGCATCAGTACTTCTGGCTAAAGCCAATGTCCCCCTGATGGGCACCAGCCCTTACAAGGCTGTTTCATAAATATCTTTTGCTTTGGAATATTGCAGAGAATATCTATTGGAGGGGGGGGGAGGAATCACCTTATGCTTTCCAAAATAATGAATCTGTACAGAAAAGTGAAAGAGTAAAATCCAGCCTAACTCACTGAATGCACGTCAGACCCAGTGGCATTGGGGTGACAGCTCAGTGATGCCACATTGCTGCTCTGCTCATGTCTGCGGTGACACAGCTGAGCACCAGGACGGAGGCAGCACTGATCCAGGCTGCAGTAGCAAAATCCCAGTTTGAAAGAAATCCCAGTTTTTTGAGCTGCTGCACTGGGAGGCTGTGCCTGCTGCCAAAACTGGGTCAAAAAGACACTAAACCGAAGGTCTGTTCCCTTCACTTTCTGATTATGAGGTCTCCAAGGGACACTTAGGGTGCCAGTTTCAATCTTTCCCAGTAACTGGTAAAATTGTTAAATCACTTTTTAAAAAAAAAAAAAAAACCCACAACTTTTTTTTTTTTTTTTTCTTTTTATTAAGCAGTTTTTGTCCTGCTTGGCAGCTATCTGCCTCCACTCATCTCTGCCCTCTCCTCCTCCCGGAGCAGCCACAGCACCCAAAGGCATCAACATTGCAAAGGGACGGCCAGCAGCCCGTGCACGCCGTCTTGCCATGGTCCTGCCTGCAGAAACGAGGCTCTTCGGTAAACTGGCAAACATTTCGGTAAACATAGCAAACCACTAGTGACTGGTGTGCGACTGGAAAATGCTACAACCCTGCTCCCACACTGTGAGCCAGTATCTAAAAACATGCCAGAGAGTGTCAGGAAGGGAGCGGCGTTGATGCCGGGTTTTGCTGTAGATCTTGCTGGGGACAGGGTTATGCAACCCTGAGCTCCTCCACACCTCGTTGCAGAGAGCTGCTTCTCTTTTCCATGTTTGTTCATTAAAAGTTCAGGAAAGGAAAACAGCTTGACCCTATTTGTGCCAGATTCCAGGTGATTTGTGTTCTCTAATTATCCCCCAGCCCATTAACCTCCCATGCATTACATCAAGCAGCCTCTACCCTAAGCAGCAAAGAGATTCCCGTGAAACATTAATGAGCTGTTTTCCTATTAACTAGATGGAGCGGGGTTAGAAATGTTGCACCCAGAGCTGTTGCCTTGACTGCAACTCACACGGGTAACTGGTGGCCACTACTTGTACAAACACTGTAACTGTTGCACATGGATTTTCTGGAAATTCCCAGGTATTTCTGGGTCTCTTGCAAGCGACTAACCGATTGCTGCAAGGGCTGGGTTACTGCAGCCATTCAGCATTTAGCACAAGACTTGTCTGCAGAAGCTGAGCCCCCATCCTGCTGGGAACACAGGTGGAATCCTTTTGGGAGGTTTTGAAAAGGCTCAGAGTGATTTAGACACTCCATTTCCTTGGGAGTTCAATTAAGCTCAGAAAATTAGTCCCGGGAGCCTTTGCTGGGAATTTCCAGACCGTGCTGGTGTCAGGGGTCCATCAGCCCAGCTCTCGCTGGTGCTGGTTGCCCAGGGTCAGCAGAATGCTCCGGGCTGGTTGTAGTGGTTTAACCCCAGTCAGCAACTGAGCACCACACAGCTGCTCACTCAGTCCTCCTCCCTCCCAGTGGGATGGGGAGGAGAATTGCAAAAAAGAACTTGTGGGTTGAGATAAGAACAGTTTAATAGCTAAACTAAACTAAAATATAATAATAAAAATAATACTAAAATATAATAATAGTAATAAAAGGGAGTATAATAAAAAAGAAATAAAATCCAAGAAAAGACATGTCATGCACAATGCCATTGCTCATCACCTGCTGACTGGCACCCAAGCAGTGATCTGCCCCCCTCAACCAACTCCCCCAGCTTCTATATTGAGCAGGACATCTCATGGTATGGAATATCCCTTTGGCTAGTTGGGGTCAGCTCTCCTGGCCATGCTCCCTCCCAGCTTTTTGTGCACCTCCTCGCTGGCAGAGCATGGGGAACTGAAAAGTCCTTGATTTAGGATAAACACTACGTAGCAACAACTAAAACATCAGTGTGTTATCAGCATTATTCTCACACTAAATCCAAAACACAGCACTGTACCAGCTACTGGGAAGAAAATTAGCTTTATCCCAGCCAAAACAAGGACACCGGTGCAGACTTTTTTTAAAGTACTTTGAAGTCTCAGAAAGTACAAACTGTGGTGGTTGCTCGCTGGCAACTTCAACTGGGAATCTAGCGCAGGATATCTATTTCAAGTAGTGTAAATATTTGGTATTTATATTATTACTGGTCTGCATAAGGTTACATTGTATCTTTGGATGCATGCAGTTTCTCTGTATAATTTTAGATTACAGAAATGCACATCCGGACTCCAACAAAACACTCGGCCATCCCAAAGTGCCTGAATGCCAATGCAGTTTGGTCTCTTTTTGGCCGTGCCCCACGAAGAGGCCAGGCAGCTGAGTGCTTCGGTCAGGGCTGGGTGGGGACACTGTGCTGCCATCACTCAAGAGCCTTCTCCCACCGGGGTCCCAGTGAACCCCCTGCCACCACCAGCCCGGGGTACTGGGTCGCTCACAGCCACTGCCTGAAGCCGAGATCCTGCAGGGTGGCCCTGGGGATGCCGGCGATGGCCAGAAAATCAGAGCTCTGTACCAAGGGAAGCAGCAAGCCATGCAAATACCGTTACGGATTACAAGCACCAATCTGCTTCCTCCTGGTCAGGCCTTGCAGGAGAACTCCACTTCACTTGTGTAGCTCTTTTCCAACGCCACTCTGGCATTGCTGGGAGGGGGGAAAGGGCTCTAAACTTGCCCTGCTAACGATCCAGCTCTCCTCCTGCTGAAAACAAACCCAGACCCGCCAGGGTCAGAGCACAAACTTGCTGTGCAGAAGAGTGGGTGACAGCTCAGCTCCCAGGAAAGCCACGTTTGCTTCCCTTTGCTCTGATGATCTCAGGGGCACAGAAGTCCAGCTTTCATTTTTCAGGCCCTGGGATCTCCATCTTTAAAATACAGAGATCAATTTTATTTTGGAAGCTGTGCGAGACAGTCCTGCAGAACCCCCCAGCACAGCTCACAAAGGACCCAAACAATTCAAGTAAACCTGCCATAAATGACTTGCATGAGAGATTGTTTTATCATGAATAAATGCAGGAACATCCCAGTCACTTGCAAACAGAAAATGGACCCCTTTTTGCTGAACAAATGATTTGTTACAAGCTGCTCAGTATTTGGCTGCTAATGCAAGCTGCTAACTCACCTGAGACAGGTTCATCTTCCCACAGCTGATACATCTCTTTAATAAAAGAGCTTTGCCTGATTAAAAAAACCTGCAAGACCAGTTCATGGTAACCACCAGTGTTACTACCCTCTAAACTTTCTGTTATCAGCTGGAGCTGGGCTGTGTTTAGATGTCCTAAGAATTAGCACTCCCAGAAAATAACATAATTTTTGAACTATTTTGTGGTTTTGTGGTTTGTGTGGTGGGGCTGATCACATCTCTCTGTCTCCACTGCTGCTGCTGTCTCTCCTTCTCTCCTCCAGGCTTCATGCTTGTTCTTCAGAACAGTACAAAAGCATCTTCGAATACATCCGCGCTGTGGTGGGGACTGAGCTGCGTGGGTTTTACTCCATCTGGTCGTTCCTGCAACCCCGGGACGCAGAGAGCCCTTCTCACCAGATCAAGGGATTTTTCACCCTGGTGCCAAAGTCCAGTGGCTGTTTCATAATCGTACTTCTTGTACCCTGCCACCATCTAGTGGTAACTCAACTATAAACTGCAGCAGGAGAGGCAATGCAGCCTGAGCGGGTCGTCCATCACCAGCCTGCCAGGAACCGAGTGCTGCTGGGGTAGCACGGATGCAAAGTGCAAGTTCATCGCCTGAGGCTGGTGGGCACACTCTGCTGCTGAAGCATAAAAATCAGCAGATTAACTATGGTGAGGTTTCTCCCACATGTGTCATCCTGCTCTGCTTCTCGCTGTAATGAGTTTTTAGAAGTGTGCTTGCACTTGCTGTAGTTCTGCAGGTCCATCGCTTCTGTCCCTGCTCAGCTTTGGAAAGCTGCTAATGAGGGAGGGAAGGTGGAAGGGTGGTGGGGAGGGATGGTGGGGGGGGATGGGTGGGGGAGAGAGCACAGGAGAGCGATGCATGCACACACCAACATCCACATGCACACACCCTGGAAGCTCTGGTGGGGTTTCCAGGCCTCCAGCCCCCAGAAGGGCTCTGCACCATTTTCTGAGCCCTGTGAGCAAAGCCAAGTGTTTATCCAGCATCCCTGGGGTGGGAGGTTGGAAACCATCCTGTGCCCCTCCCCACTGTGTGAAGGGCCAGTCATATTTGCATGGCATGTTGCATGAGCTAAATTCTGCTTGATGTGGTTGAGAATAACCTGAGTAACTACTTTCCTGGACTGAAATTGCTCCTTGAACTGCATTTTTTTTTTTTTTTTCAGAGAGTGCTCAGCAGAGTCTGCCATGGGGTTCTCTGACCGTTTGTTCAATTATGAATCACGAAGTTGTAAGTCCTTCTCCCAAGACATGAATATTTGTCCAGGGAGGCTCTTGTTTAGTGGCACAGGCTCCTCGGTCTGCCTACACTACTTCTCACTGGTGTTAGTGGGATT